AACCCTGGCAAGACCGAGTGGCTGGGGGTTAATGGCTCCTCTGTATCCCGGATTTTGTCTCCTTTGGGGCTGGGTGGGGTGGGACTGCCCCAGACAGACCCAGTGCATAATCTGGGGGTCCTCCTAGACTCACAGCTCCTGCTTGAAGAGCAGATGGCAGCTGAGGCAAGGAGGGCCTTTGCACAACTTCAGGTTGTGCATCAGTTACACCCTGGATCAGGATGTCCTTCGAACAGTCACCCACATCCTTGTTATCTCCCAGATAGACTACTGCAATGCGCTCTACATGGGGCTACCCTTGAAGAGTATTCGGGAGCTACAGCTGGTCCAGAATGCAGCCGCGCAGGCTATTTTGGGAGCCCCAAGGAGGGCCCATGTAACACCTCTGCTCCGCCAGCTGCATTGGGTGTGTTTGCTTCCAGGTCCAATTCAAGGTGTTGGTTATCACCTTTAAAGCCCTACATGGCCTGGGACCAGGTTACCTAAGGGACCGCCTCTCCCCCATGACTTCAACCCGTCCCACCCGATCACACAGAGAGGGTATGCTCTGGACCCCCTCAGTGAAAGAACGACTGGCGGGGTCCAGAAGGCGGGCCTTCTCTGCGGTAGCCCCCGCCCTTTGGAACATTCTGCCCCCGGAGGTGCGATTGGCCCCCACTCCTGGCCTTCCGGAGGGATTTGAAGACCTGGTTCTGCCACCTGGCCTGGGGTGGGGAGGGAATACCTCAAGCATGGGGATGGCTAGCCCCATAGAGGTCTTCTGCCTTCAGCCTCAGATTTTTCATCCTCTTGGACTCTCCTCCTTTTTAGTAATTTTTTAAATTAATGTTTTATGTATTTATATCTATTTATGTTTTTAATGTTTGTTGTCAATTGCCCAGAGTTCCCCCATTGGGGGGAGATGGGCGGTTGAAAAATTTAATAAATAAATAAATAAATAAGGATATTTTTTGAACAATAGACCCAGAAGTTAATTTTAAGAGTGTTTGCCTGTATAGATAGACTGTGTTTAAAAGATATTATGGAAGAGGAACAAGTTCTACCTGACAAGATTGAAACTGATCTGAAAGTGGATTTAAAAATGACAGGCTACAAGAATGACATGGAAAAACATGTTACACTGGGCATACAAAAGAAACCAGCTGATGTCTTAATAATTAAAAGAGATATACAAATATTTTGTGAGAAGGGACAAAGAAAAAATGAAAAGAAATCAAGTTCCAGGACATTATTTGAAGGGACTAAAGATCAAGATTGTTAGAAGTAAAAGGAAGAATGTAAAGTTGGTTTATTTGATCAAGGTTAAAATAGATAGGTTGTTATCTCTGGTAACGCTTAATGGACTTTTGCTGACAGCAGGACTGAAATGACGAGGCTTTTAGATTTGTTATTTTTGTTTGTATTTTTATGTAATCATAATTTTTAATAAAATTACTATTAAAAAAGTTAGCTTGGCTTCCTTTGGACCTGCCTGTTTTTCTGACATCATGGAAATGGTGCTTCCTGTCTTGACTTTGCATTTTGGGCCTATGGCAGTATAGATAATTTACTTACTTATGCCTTCCTGCATACCCCCCTTTTGGGTATTGCATGTTTTATCATCCCATTGTCTTATTCCAAATTCATCTCCATTTCTTCCTTAAAGTGAATGCCAGTTCAACGTTACCTCTTGCTCTGGGAGATAGCATGACTTAAGAACCAATAAGGGCAACATCGTTTCAGTGACTAGCATGATAATTTTATGAAGCAAAGGTTTTGAGTGCAAGAGTACAGCTTTTTACTGCAGCCGCATTTTGCTGAGAGCCTTCTTCCGCACAGCAGCCAAGGTGGAAGAGTGGGTTGGCAGATAACGGTATGGAACTTAAAACAAATTTGGGGCGGGATAGTTAGTCCATCCTGACACCCTTCATACTGACACCCAAATTTCCCCCCTGCAATTATAGGTGTATATATAGGCATGGGGCTAAACATTTAAAACAGTGTTGTCCAAACCTTGGGCCCTTTTATAGGATTTTGTTTTTACTCACCACAATTCTTCCTCCTCGCGTGGCGGGGGTGCG